TTCCAAGCCTAATGAGTAATTTCATGGTCTTGGACTTGGAGGCAGGAGGAGGGGGCTGGGGCAGCAGCCAGAGTCATGTGCTCTACAAGGAGCTCTGCTGATGTCAAATCACAGCCTGATGACTTTTATTTTATTGCAACCCACCGGGCTTCCCTTTAAAGAGTGCTGCTAGACTTGCTGGTGATCAGTGCAGAAACAGCTCCTACACGAGCTGCTGCGTTCTGGGGGCTTCCTGATTTCTGGGCACAACAGGCAACGTGGAAAATAATGCCATCAGTGGAGAGGAGGTAGGGGAGATCAGCTGGGCGTCAGCTCGGTTCTGTGTGTGCAGAGAGCACATGTGAATGCCGAAAGCGCTTTGCCTCTCCCGCTTCTGGCTGCAGTGTGCTCATAGAAGGAGGGATGAGGGAACAACCAACCCCGGGCAGATGTGTAATCACATCGTTTGAATGTCTAGCGGATGATGCTGAGATGTCGTGATGCACACAGTCCGAGAACAGATACAGAATGAGCTGACTCAAATTGTAGCTGGTCTCAGCACCGTTTAAAAAGCACAAAGCCCATCTTTCTCTGTGAGAAGGACAGGGTTATCTGGAGAGAGCGATAATCTGTACAGAGCACAGGAAACAGAAGGCAGATGTTGTCGTATGTTTATCATATGTTTCCACCACAGGGTCTTCCTTTGGGACAGGCTTGCAGATCCCAGGCCCTGGAGCAGGACTTACACAGCTCCACAAATGCACCATGCTGTATTTATCTAGGGCAGAAGAATATTCAGAGCTCTTCCTCCACCTGCCCAGGTTCTCCTGGTGCGGAGAGGAAGTTTATATACACTTGGTGTGACTCATCTGTAGAGCCTGACTCATTTTCATGCTGTTACTCATAGAAAAGGAAAGCCAAATGGCAACCAGTCTGTGCCTGTAGACACCTGTAATTCTCCACCTTTCTGCTGTTAATCTCTGGATGAATTTCTGTTTATCGGCACTAGCACACTTACCTGCTGAAGCTTTTAGTACTTTTCTCTACGGAGAAAGTCTGCTTAGAAAATAAAGTTTTCTATCCCTAAAGCTAAGAGGAAGTGTGTTGAATCTCCACGACTGCTTGTGGAGTTCCCGAAATGGGACTATTTCAAGTGGACGCTTCACAGGGGTAGCAACGGGCTGGGACCAGATGGAGAAACATCCCAGGCAGAGCTGGGAAGGGCTGCAGTGTTACTGCAGCTCCTGAGCTCACCACTGTGCTCTGGAGAGAGTTGCTGGGGGTCTGTCTCTTAAAGGTGCTCAGTGGTAGGAGATCCTGCTTCCAGCAACGATGGCTTGTTGGTGACCAGAAATCTGCTTCCCCAGCTCTCTGGGCTTCTGTCCCATGCCTTGCCTCCCCACTGTAAAGTAAGGACTATAGCTGCATGGGGCTCTGTAGGCTGCTAGTCCCAAGAGGAAGGGATGGTGGTTTGCTTTGCATAAGCCTTTGTTGCACTGCCAGCTCAGGAGTCTCTGCTCACTTGAGACCTGGCTGGTGCTCACTCGTGCCGTATTTTGTTTGCTCGTCAGAGTGCAGGGAAAACACTGGGTCCTGGTTCCTTCTCTTGCAGCATGATGGGTGGGTTATTCTGTGTTAGAGACCGCACAAGCATGAGGAGGATTTGAAAACCTCACCCAAGATCTGCAGAGGGAAGTTCTCGCTGTGAGGTGGGAAACGGTGCCTGCCACTACAGCTGGACCAAACCCAGCCTTTCCCATTTCAGCCTCATTCCATGTCAAAACCACAGTGCAGCCCTTCCTGCACCGCACAGAAGAGCACAGTGCAAAGCTCCAGGTGGGTGGGCTGTCCAGAGGACAAGGAGGGATCTGGGGCCTGGAGCTGGGGTTGGGTCAGCGTTAAGGCAGTTTTCTCCGGCTTGAGGGAAACTGAGGTTCAAGTCACTGGTCTAAGCCTTACAGAGCGGGACTTGGCCTCAAACCTGGCTCTCCCTTCTCAGCACTGTTTGCTGCTGGGCGAGAGGGCCGCTCTAAGGTTCTGCTCTCTCATCATTTGCCTTGATCTCATCTGAAGAGCTTTGATCAGAATTGTTCCATGGACTCTCAAATGAAAAGCTGGGGTTTCCGTTATTTTCTGGTGGAAAAAAACAGTTAATTGGAAAAATTCCTGCATGGCCTTGGTATGCTTTCAGCTGGCATCCTGCCTGCCCCTCTCTGAAAATATTGCTGATTTTGAGTGCAAGCACTTCTTGTGAGGCTGGTTCCTTTGGTTGCAATCCCTCCCTTCTTGGGTTTCTTTTCACCTTGAGCAGATGGCAGGGCTTGGCCTCTTGTTTACGTGGCACTGAAGTGACCTTCTGGGGCTTCCTGCATGTCCTGCTGCCCTTCGTGGGAGAGCATGGCTGAGAGAGGCCAGCGTTCCTGTCGCATTTAAGGAGCAGTCACTGCCTTGCTATCCAAGCTGTCTGCTGTTAATACTCGCCGCCGCCCCCAGCTCTGGCAGCCGTGTTTGCAAAAAGCTCTGCGGGCAGTGGAAGCAAGCTGGTTTCATCATGACAATGTAGTTATCCTTTTAAGGGAAAATTCCCTCCGGGAGCCAACCCTCAATTACCTCCTGCTCCAGTGCCTTCTTGCTGGAGATGGCTTGTAACACAGCTGAGTTACAGCCACAGTAACTCAGTCGAGCATCGAGCCGCTCCGAAAAAAATAAAAATTAAACTCTGTTGGCCTCTGTTGTTTGCTAGTGATTGCTGCATCTAGAAATTGGGGTCAAAACCCAAAGGGCTGGCTCCAATTCATCAGTGCATTTGTGCAGAACCAGTCTGTGGGTGTTACATCTTCAAACCCAGATGCTGTTCCCATGGCATTAATGGGGTCGTATGCACATACCGTGTTCTTTCCCAAAGAAGTTTGTTGCAATACTCGGGAGCTCTGGGTAGTACAAGCCTGGTGATAATTAGCCAATGCAAGTGTCTGCTAAATGCCAGGGAACTGGGGTAGGCAGTGGCTGCATTTCAATGTGCTGTTATTCACTGCGGTGAATGGGGAGGATCCTCCAAGGGTCCTGATTCGGAGGCTGAAAAATTCCTTCTATTTTGCTGGCATGTTTCATAGTCCACAGGGGCGATGTCTAACCGGGACGGGGCTGCGGCAGAGGTTGCCCTCTGCTGCAATGGGCGGAGCAGGATCGTGCGGAGCTGTAGGGAACAGCCCGTGCCCTTTCTGTTCTATAGGAATGGTGGCTTTGGCCGCAAGCCCCCAAGTTTACATCTCTTCTGTTTAGCACTGAAAATACTTTAATTCCAAATGAGCCGCTTTACCAGAAGAACATGACACTCTTGAATGTAAACTTGTCACAGGAATGAGACCAGACTCCGTAAAGGAGTTCTAGAGACTGCTGCTTCTGACATCTGTAAGTTTACTGTGGTTGTCTGAGAAAATGGCCTTGTTTAAAAAACAACCCCATACCTGTGCAGCTACTGTTGTCTGGAGCCAAAACAAATGGACCACAGCCCAGGGCATGACTGGTTCATCTGAGGATGAAGCCACGGGCCTTGGAGGAAACAGTCACAGAGGAGCCAGGCTGGATCCCTGTGCCCTGTTTTTGAGGACTGAAATGCACAGGAATCCTATTCTGTCTGCCTAGAGCCGGACTGATAGAGGTCTCCCATCTTCCCAGCCTTCCCAAGGGTTTGAATTCTCTTCCCCCATCTAGAGCAAGGAAAAAAAATTTAAAAATTTAAAACTTCCATAAGCAGACAGGAAGCAATCACATGAGCTCCATCAAAATATGTCATTTCATACTTTTAATAACTCTTAGGGTAAATTACTTAAAAAACTGTGAATTATCTAAAGTGTTGAAATTGTGTTTTCATGCTGCAGAGCAAAGCTGTCCCCTTTTGAAATGTCAAATTTTCAAAGCTTTTTTTGTACTTTTTTAAGCCAAGACACTTCCATGTCTGTAGTCCTCTGTTAACAGTTTTGGGTTGCTGTTTTGCCCTGGAAATGTTTTGCCAGAAAATTTCTCGCCAACAATTCCCGTGTGGCCCTGATTCCACCCTTGGAGGTGGGTGGTTTTCAACCCGCCTGGGCAGAAAGGCAGAAGCGTGGCCAAGCTGAGAGCAATCCCATCATTTGAATACATAACTATTGCTTGAACTGATGACCTTTCAGAAGTTCATTAGTTCTTGGCAGTCGAAAACAAGTGGAATTTATTTTCCTCGCTCAGGAAATTGAACCCATGCTGTTGAAAATTCAACATTTCTCCAGAGAAAGAGCTGATCAGAGGCTCCGTTGCTTGGACTGGAAGGTTACCCACGTGCTGGGGACTGGCACCGGAGAACGTGAGTTCAAATCTGTATCTCCTATGATCTCCCATATGACACCTGGCCACGTTTTTTTTTCTTGGAGCTTCATTACCCCTTTACCACTGTTTCTTGCAAAGAGGTACAATGCGTGAAGAACTGGGCAGTGCTTTGCTGTCATGGTGATGTGGTCTAAACAAACCCGGAGTATTTTGCCAGTATTTCAAAACTGACTTCTTGTTGCAAATGAAATAGCAGAGGAACTTGCAGTTTTGTTTGCACAGCTCCTCGCCCAGTTAGTCATGCTGGCTTGCATATGTGTTGGACTTTGGGAGATCTAATGTTTTATCAATTTCAGTGATAAGTATCCCAGTGTGCGGTGGTGTGCTAGATAACTAACATCTAAAACATTTAGATAACTAACATTTTAGATAACTAACATCTAAAACTGATTAGCATTTCTTCTCTAAGAAGCATTTATTTCTGTGCCAGGTAGGTTTCTCTGGAAGGAAACAATTATTTTCCTGCAAAACTATTTATGGTTTTTTGGGTGGGAGGGAAAAATTTTAATATAGTTAAAAACTTCACCGAGCATCTGAAACTATATAAACACCAAGAGGGAATTAAATGTTTCAACAAGGCGTAAGCGAAAAAAAATGTCAAAAAAAATGGAGGTAGTTCTAGCTTGGGTTCCCAGCATTTTGATTCCATTCATTCATTTATTTTGAGAAATTAGTTTTAATATTCATTTCCTGACTTTGAAAAATGCCCATGTTCCAAAGCGTAAACTTATCCCTCATGGGGATGTAGAAACTGGCTCATGAATCCGACAGGGGTGAGGAGTAAGGAGGTTTTCTTGGCAGCGGCACAACTAAAACTTACGGACAGCTTCTATCAACACAGCACCAAGCTTTCTAGGAATCAGCTGTTCTGGCAGAGAAGGGGCATGAGATGGGAAAGTGGGGAGAGACGAGACCTGAAATCTGGAGCAGGAGGGGAGAAGGGAAGAAAGCTGGGGAGAGCAGGCCAGGCTGAGGAGGTGTGATCAGGGTTGGCAGGGGATTTCCGGGGCACAACATTTATCATCCCACAGCTCCCCTGTGAGAGGGAAGACAGGGTTAAAGACCTGAATAGCCTGTGAGGTTTATTTAGCCCCCTGAGTCTGGTTGCTGAGGCTTCTGCCAGTGTCCTGCAGAAACCATATGGCTGGGAAGGATCTTGGGCAACAGTTTCCTCCACCTTTCTATGTGGAAGAGGGTGAGAGATACCCACCTTCCCTGCATACCTGCTCTTAAGAAATCCCAGTGATGGAGGTGCCCCTGTGGATCCCATTCTACAATACATCCACCCTGTGCCTGGAAAACTTTTCTAAATAGAAGTCTTAATCTTGTTTTGCTGCAAATTAAGCCAACTTCATTTTTTTCCCTTAACCCAGTCGATGTGATAAGCTGTTGACAGCCACCCCTCCTGTAATAACTTCTTACAAATGGCATTTTGCAATATTCCACAGTTTTCTTTTTTTTTTTTCTATAGGTGTGAATACCTGTGCTTTACATATCATCTTTAGTAAAGATGCACAAAGGTAGGATTCCTTCACCGTTTCCTCCTGTGTTGTGTTTTACAGCCTCTGAACTGCCCAGCTGGGCTAGCTCAGGCAGAGGGACTGACACTCCCCAGCAGGAGATGCGAGGGCAAAGCCTCCAGCTCCTCCCTGAAGTGAAGCTGGTGGGACTGGGTCTCTGATACCCAGGGGGGGATGGAAAATACACAGCTTAAAGTACCTCGCATTGACCTCAAGCAGCAGGATTGCTGTTGAGAATGAAATTGTTAATGCTTTGTAACGTCACATCGGTGGTTGTCACAGGAGTATTGTGGGTTGCTTAGCTGTGAGGTAAGGTGCTAGAAGAACACGGTGACTAAGTTTCCTGGAATAAATTAAGCACTAACTTTCCGAAGTATGTGATCTTGCATAACAAAATGGGGATCTCCAGTCTCTAAACACAGTGGATATCTTCTGTGCCTGCAAATTTTCTAACTCTTAAGCTGGAAAGGGGAAATCTTGGAGAGCTTCACTGTTGATGACTCATATTTAAGATAAAACACACATTGTTTTAATAGCAAGAATAGTCATCCGAGTAGACTAGCCAATGCTGTAGTAAATCTTTTGGCACCCTGGGACTGGAAGAGCTCTTTCTGCTCTTTTTCAGTTGCAAATTATTGAGTTTTGTGGGATTGCTGGACGGAACCTAGGACCTGCGTTTTCTATTTCAGATTACACGATAACACAGTCTCTTCAAACCAGTAACCCATGACTATCCATTGAATTACAAGCAGTCAGGCAAATGTTTTATATGCCAATACTATGTATGTTTTTACTTGTGTTTTTTTAAAACCATGTTTCACATAGTGCTAGATGCTTCCCTTCCTTACCAACATCAATTTAAGGCCAGAATGTGATGCGTTGTCTGTTTTCTTAGTGCAAGAGAAAGAGTGCCTTTCTCTACAGGATATCTGTAGAAATCAACCCTGTGTCTTGGAGATTCCTTTGAGGAACAGCCTCTTTCCCAGCAAGGGGTTAGAGAGTTTGCTAAGCACATTTTTTTAGCCCAATGAAGCCAAGCTTGTGCAATAGGATGGTGCATATACTTGGACTCTTTTCCCTGCTTCCTCATAACTTCAGAACCTCCTGACCAGTTTCTACCCAGTTTTCGCAGAAGGGAAGCAGTCACTATGATACCAGCTTCTCTCTATAGCTTACTGGCATCTGGGCAGAGGAATGAGGCTCTGGTCTTGCTCACCACCAAGGGGATGACTGCTGAGCGAGCTCAACATTTTGCAGACACCAGAGTCCAGGTGAAGATGTTAAGGGCAGCCCGGACAGCACTGCTGGAGGCTGCGCTTGGTGGAGGTCTCCAGCAATGAGGATGCTTCCCTTTGCTTTCCAGAAGCAGCAGATCCTGGCCTTGACCGTCCTTTCTGGCCAGAGCAGCCCAGCTGGCAGGCAGGGATGGCTCAGGAACTGCACTGTGTGCAGCACCAGCTCCAGCTCTGTGCCAACCGCAGCCCCCGGCACTGCTCCTTCCTCCGGGCTTGCGGTTAGCACAGCATCTAGCTCGCCCCAGACTGACCACAGCCTCCTCCAGAGCAAAGTCCCACTGTGCCACTCTGGGTGGCTCTCCTTTGCTCCTGTTCAGGACAAATGGCTCTTAAACAGCTGATACTTAAAAGGGGGTTTTATTGCCAAATTTCAAAGCTCTTTACAAGCAGGAGACAAAGTGCTGCCTTTCCATGGGCTGCAGCAGCTGCTTTTCAGATAGTCATCCACATTTGCTTGCTTGCAAACTCACTTCCTTCCTGTCACAGACATGTAACCTGGTGGCACAGCCGAAAACACAGACCCACACCCCAGCGCTCCATGCCCAGAGGGTTTTCAGGCACAAAAAAACCCCAGCCTTAGTGCAGCCCAGAAATTAGATGTAAGTTTAAAGGAAGATTGAAAAAAAAAAAAAAAAAACCAAACCAAAAAAGTGCATGGTGGCAGGATGTACGCTGATGATGGGAGTTGCTGTATGAGGTCAGAGCAGACCAGGATCCTGTCTCTGACTGACCAGCACTGCCATTTTCAGAGGAACATGTAAAAACACCCCAGAAGGCTGTTTCCAGCCCTAGGCTGGAATGAGAAGAACAAGTGGGAAAACTGCAGAAGGAACATGATGCATTTTTTCCTGCAAAGTCCAGCTGAATCAGGCTTACATCCGGGCTAGACATTTTAGGATGAACTGCTAACCCTATTAGAAAAAATAGTTAAAACCAAAGAGCCTCTAACACAGCATTTTCAGCAGTAGAGTTACTGGGTGCTATGGAGATTCCACTTAAGTTATACTTATTTACAAGACATCATACAAATCTAGTGAGTTCTGTTAGTATGGCAAATACAGTAATTAGCTGTAGCTTGTAAAATGATTTAACTTGCCCATTTCCTGACAGATACAGGGTTTTTTATCTGTTAAGATTCCTACTGATGGGTATTCAGTAAAATGTCAGACATTTATCATTAGAATATTCAGTCTAATATAAAAATATACAGTAAATATAAGCACATCCTGTAGGTTTAGCTGTAACAGATAAGGATGTCTGGGTATTTTCATCAGCGCTTTGCCAGATGGGTATCCACAGAACACATCACCACAAGAAAACACCTGTGAGAGCAAAAGCAGTTGTATACAAATTAGGGACTGAGCTATCCCAAAAGCTGTTTTCATTCTCCTGGGTTTTCAGTTCCAGGCTTTGATTTGCCCATCCCAGAGTTTAGGCCTGGCTTCTGCTTTGGGATATGAATCTGTACCCAGAATTTGCCCTGGTTTGTGTGTCTTCTTGTTAGTGTGATCTGCTTTTCCCCCATCTAATTTCTCTCTTGTTATAGAACTGCATCTTGCAAAAGCCTGCTTGCTCTCGGAAGCTGATGTCCCTTGACTTCCAGTGCACACCAGGTTCTGACAGCTCACATTCATACCACACAGTGTTCGGTAAACAAAAGTGCACATGCAGAAAAAAACATTTAGATAGCAGATAGGCACTGAATATTGTCTGTGTTATTAGCCCTTGTCCTAAGTACATCTGGAAAGGCAAATAAGACCCATGGTTCACATTGAATCTACAGCAGCAAATGACACAGATCCACAGTTTGCTCCAGGCTGTGTGCTGGGGAGTGGGCTTAGGACGTAGGAATCTTTTTGTCTCAAAGCAAAGCTTTTTGGCACCTGAGCCCTGAGTGTTTGACTGCGTCGAACTTTCTACATGAGAGAATAACAAGTGAATTCCCACGCGATGTCTATGGCTGTCTTGAGAGGGGGACACACCACTGAAACGAAGGCTGCTTTAATCAAGAGGCAGAAGCATCAGTTCCAGGCACTAGCTGTCTTGGTGGCTCCAGGTGGTGAAAAATAGGATATTTGGAAGCCCAAAGCCAATATTTCTGTGCTCGGGCCTGAAGTGCCCACTGCCTAGCCTAAGAAGCAGCTCAGATGAAGCTTTACTGGGCTGCTACTATGGGGGATGTTTGCAGCCCATTGCAGCCTTGAGGAACCTGGGAAATTATAACAGAAAGAACAGAAGAAAAAGAAATGGGTGAGCTAAGAGGGCAGTGCAGGCAAACGAGAGGAAAGAGCTTAGGTAGCGCCTCACTTCTTAAAACCAGACTGGGAAAATTGCCCTTTTCTGTGCTTCCAGAGCCTGGCTCAAGCAAAGGAGGCAGCCTTTGGGCTGTCATATGATTCTCCTCGGAGCAACTATAGAGAATAGGTGAGGGGACCCAGCTCAGGTACGGCGCTATACAGGAGTGGTGCAAAGACATGATTTTATCACAGCTGCAATCACTAAAGACCACGGGAACCGTGGCTGCTTTCAGCAGGTGGGCAGGGAACCCGTGGGAATTGTGCCGGAGCCTTCTGCAATGTCTTTCTCAGACCCTTCTGTAGCGATGCATTTTTATTTTAATATACTTAAGCCACTGGGACCAGCCCCAAAGTTGTGCGTGCAAAATGCCTTTCCCTCCATCTACTCCAATTACAGACATCCGTGCCAAACCGTGGCTCTCAGGCTAGCCAGGACACAGCAGGTAGAGACGTGTTAAATAGGAAGAGGGATCTCATCCAGACCTGCTACGTGATGTCAGTTAACATCCCAAGACAACGCAGAGAGCGAGCCTACGGCTAAGGGAACACACGTCCCTAAAGCTTCTTAATGACAGCTCTCCTGGGAAGCTCCTGGGAATCTCCTGGACACAAGTTCTCCAAATTCCTGGCTGATTGTTCCTGAGGGGACTCAAAGTTACCAGATAGGTATGGTCCTCGATAATCAATGTGTTGTGCTGCTAGAAGACACCTCTTCAAAGGCCACGCGTAACCTGTTCTTTGCCTCGATTTCGGTATTAATAAAGCAAGAACAATTAATACTTGCCTGGCAATGACGCATTGAGACGTGCGTTCACTTACGCAGTGCTTAGCACACCTAAAGCTCTGCACGGCCACGCTCAGAAGAGTGCCTTCGTGCAGCTGCTCCAGATCTGAGGACACTGCTTGCAGTCAGGAGTCGGCCAGTTTTGTTTGCCTCTGCATGAGGTCAGTTTTTAACTGTGGACGTGGTTTTATGAGTATCTCTGGAGAAGATTAAACCATTTATCTTGACATTCCTAGATGTCACAGGGCCAGGTGGTCTGGGAAACCTTGCCAGCAAGTGAACAAACACTGACTACATTTATCCTTAAATGATTTAACCAGGAAAACCAGATAGGCGCCAGTGTAACCTGGTATCTGCTTGTCTGTAAATACAGATAGACAGGGGCTTTTGCTAGAATAGCCATTCTGCTCCTTTCAAAAATCTGGCTTGGTTTGATTGCCAGTAACTTTTAAGGCCTGATCCATTGAAAGGACTTGGACAGAGTCCTTAAAGAGCATTCACATTTTCGAAACCGTTCAATGTCCTATAACCTTCTGCTGTGCTAAGGGGATTAGAACCAGACTGGTATGTACAGCATGAAGAAAGATAGAAAGATGCTATAACTGAAAGCTCAATTCTGTCCCATAAACAAGGTGCGTGCACAGCAAAACACCACCTTTTAAACACTGGCCTAGCAATGGTACAAATCATAAATGGCAAATGTTTAGCTTTGATTTTGAGAAAGAAGTGTCTTTGAAGAGTAGGTCAGGGAGCACTTCTCCTGTAAAGAGTCACTAGATCCTTTTGCTTTTCTTTCTGTTTCTGTGTTGCTTCTTTTTTCAGTTCTCTTTTTTCTCTCTCTTCTTTAATTTCTTGCAAAACTTGTGTAGCTTGCCGAAGTTGTTCTACTGCCTCATTGAGCAATGTCTCTGCCACCATTGGGGTTCCATTCCCCTCCTGGGCCTGTTCCAACCCTTCACGTAAAACCTTCTGCAGAAGTTTTTCTGCCTTCTCCCTTTCATTAGCAACTTTCTCCTCCATTTGAGCTAAGCAGTGATGGGAATCCTCGGGGAAACCTTGGCCTGGAAGTGCTCTCTGTGTATTTTTGAAATCGGACAGCAAGTCTCCCAGAGAAGAACTGCGAAGTTTGAGACATGAAGTTCTTTCCACAGACACTTTCTTCTCAATAGCTGCTTTTACACCCTCGTGGCCTGTTTCTGTAGCTAAGGAAGTCTCTGTCTCTTCTGCTGAAGTTTGCTGTTCCTTCTCGGCAGAGGTTCTCCCATTTCCTTCTTCAGTTTCAACTGTTGGGGATGTGGACTCTGCCGCCTCACTGGCTGAGATCCCATTCACTGGGGGCTTGGAGCTGCCAGACTCCAGGTCTTCCTGAACCCCAGCTTCCAGGTCACCATGGCTGGAGTTCATTGTGGCTAGCATTTTTTCTGACAGAACCTTAGGAGGAACAGGAGGCTTTGTAACATCTGCACCGGCAATCTCAGCAAGGTTGTCTTTGCTACTATCTCCTGATGATTTCAAGTCTTCTGTGTTTTTAGGCTCAGGGCCTGGTTGGTCCCAAGCTACTTTTAGCTTGTCTGGCACACTCTTAGGAAGAGGAATTGGAGCTTTCGCTACGACCCTGTTGCTGACCTCAATGAGGTTCTCTCTGTTCTCCTCACTTGGTGCTTCGGATCCTTCCACATGCTCCTCGGGGCTTACAGAGTCCTCTTCCGTGGCATTTACAATGTCCTTTAATGCTATGCCTTCCTTAAGCTTCTTATCTGGAGGCAACGGAGGAGACAGAGGTTTTTTATGTTCCTGGTCAGGAACATTGTCCTCTGCATCTTGGTTTTCTTTTGTGCTAGTGGGTTTTGTAGGTGGCATAGGTGGCTTTGGAGTTTCTTTCTGAGGTGGTGCATTGTCACTTTCGCTGATAGTGGAATCCAAGTTTGGCGGTCCATTGTCTACTATATCCAGATCTAGTCGTAGGATACCATCTGATGTAGACTTGGCAGCCTGAAATACAAGAGAGAACTTTTTCAATATCTATCCCATCATCAATCCTATGCTCCATCCTTTAACTTTTCAAGTTAAAGTGCAAGACCCTCACAACCAGCATGGCAAGCGAGGGGTTGCTGGTTCACACATCCACCCTGTTAATACTTAGATCTGTCAAAACTGCAAGAAGAATCTGACTGGTAACAAAAACTCTTAAGAGCAGCTTTTTCTGTAACTCAAGAGCAATCTATGGAGCTTGCGCTTCTTCCACGCAGCACCACCCTGTGCTACCCTCTTAACAGCAGTAGCCAGCTCTACCAGCGTTAATCTGATAAGTGAAACCCAATGTGATCTGCTATGCTAAAATTTAATGAGCTATGATAATCGTGAGTCCCAAACATTTCACCTAACAAAGCAGAAAGTTGGGTCAAGTCACGTACATTGCGGCAAATCTTGAATGCATCGAGTGAAGCCCTTCCATCCCCCTGCATAGCCCCGCTTTTTCCCCAGATCAGCATGTTCTGTCAACGTCATGAGTGTTTTGCTGCCAAATTATTTTCTGCCTGATAGTGCAGCAACTTGCACGAGAATATCAAAGCCAATAACCATAAGCAGTCAAGAATTAGGACAAGAGCACAGAACTTATTTTACTACTTCCTTTGAGAAGAACATCTCAAAGCCTGTTCCACTGTAACATTATTTCTTGGTTTTCCTGTTGGTGCTAAGCGGTCAGCTCTGACACATTTTAATTCTTTATCCTGTGGTAGCTGGACCCCTCTACCTCCTTCATTTACAACATGCCTACCCAAAGCACACTTGCTTTCTGCTTTTGGGACTGTCATATTTTTACTTGAACATATAAACCAAGTTGATCTTTAGGTCGCTTGGCCAGGGATACTATTGTAACATCATTGCTTGCTTCCTCCAACCTGATGTCATCCCTGTCTTACCAGGGCCAAGCCTCAGCTGGTTAAACCTCCTCCAAACCACAGGCTGTGTGCAAATCATTCTAATTCTAGTAGGGGGGTTTTCCTAAAAGGGGTGGACTTAGTAAAGACACTGAAGCATGTAAGCTCAGTGCCCCAGAGGGAGAAATGCGGTGCCAGATCCTGTGTGAGGGAACCCAAAACCACACGAAGGCACAGCTGCAGCCAGGGCCAGACCCCTGCAGTGCAAAGCATTTAGTGAAGATCTCTCTTTGCCTTTGCAGCCCATCAGAGAGACAGAGGCAAGCTGCGTCCTGGCAGCCTGGCCCTGACCTGTCCTCACCTGGCCTGCTTTGACACTGAAAATCATCGTTCATCCCTTCTCCTTGACAATACTGCAGCCAGCAGCCGCGATATGCATCTTTCTGCAGGCTCCATCCCCTCCCTTTCCCCTCCTTCCTGCTTCTGAATTTTTAAGAGGTCTTACAGGTATTAACCTCAGAGGTATCTTGTGAATTTAGTGAGCTGGGTAGGGCAGAGAGATCTTTTTAGTTCCTAGAGAAGGGCTTCCTACCTTCCTGAACTCGCATTAGGCAACAGAGAATCCACCCTTCATTGCTGCTGTGACTTTTGTCATGTTTTCTTCTGCGGTTTTCTGGAGGAGTGGCTGGGAATCTATCATGCATTCCCATGCATTTCTCTAGAAGAGACACTTTTCCTCCATTTCTATGCAAAGTAAAAAGTCTGGAGGCATCTCATTTTCTGCATGAGGGTCATCTGACTGCTGTGCTGACACATAAGTCAGAGTTTTGGAAGTTTGAAGAAAGAAGGTTTGATTTAAAAACGTTCCTTGGTTGAGATTAATGCTCTGCTAAAATATCAATCTGTCTGTGGCAACTTTTTCATAAATCACAGGGATCAAACATTAGTAAGAACCTCTCCCATAGAAATGAACTGCAGGTTTATTTTGTGGTGGTTTTTCCTTCTTTTTTTTTTTTTTTTTGTGTTACTAGTAATGTATTCTGTTTCAGACCTAAGGAAGGTCTTGTAAGCTTGAAAGCTTGTCTGCTTTTTCCAGTTAGCTTAATAAAAACACAGCTTCTCCCCACAAGCCGTGCAGTTCTACCTTTAGACCACTGTGGCTACAAAATCATCGCTTCTTAGAAAATAAATATAGGAGCTTCGGTCTCTTCTGATTAAAGTGAAACTATAAAGGCTGTCACCAGACGGTGAAGCAGCTTGTGAGTTATGGAAAGCTAAATATATCGTAACGTGTTGCAGCAACTACAGATCTATGGGAACCTGGAGCTTCGTTAGAGAGGTGCTGGCATGGTCTTTCCCGGAGGAAGCCGTTTCCCTCGTCAGCTTTCTCTGGGCTCTCTGTACCTGGGTTTTAGCCTGGGGTTTTTGTACCTAAGGTGGAAGGAGCAGCTCTTGGTGATCCCAGCTGGGGAGGTGGCTCACCCCAGGGGGGTGCACGTACCTCCTTTAGGTGACTTCTTGTGGGTGGCCTGCGTCCGTGGGTCATCTTCACTCTGTCCCGAGTTACATGGTCCAAGGAAAGGCTCTCGTCTACTTTCACCTTTAAAAGGGAAAGAAAAAAAGGAAGAGGGTCATTAATTTCTCAAGATAAATCTGTAAGTCCTCACTGTCACACACAAAGCGATGGAGCATTTGGATCCAGGAGGCTTTTGAATATTTCACCACTACAGTCTTTGCCTCAGGTCTTAGTTACAGCCTGCGTGCAGTGCCCTGCATGTACGTGATGGATATTTAAGGCATCTGTCCTACACTGAGCTGTGTTTATCTAAAGAGACTCCAAAGCAAAGGGTCCAACCTCCAGAGGTTTGTGATCGCTAACCTCCCCTCTACCTAAAAGGCAGGGAAGGAAGGACACAAGGCAGCTTTGTTGTCCTCACCGCAGCCTGGGCTTGGACCAGCTCCTGCATGTGGCAGAGCACAGCGCCGAAATTGCTGTTGCCATCTTAGAGGTGAAAGCTCATTAATAACCGTGACCTGACTGTGAACTGTATCAGCAGTGCTTCGTTACAGACCTTCCCTTCTACAGCTCTAATGACTGCAGGATGCTGAAGAGAAGGTGTGAGCAGTGACCTGGATTAATTGCAACTCTAGCTGAATTAACACATTTATTTCCTGGAATCAGATGAGAAATCCACTGCCTCCTGCATGTGGAAAGGAGGTCCCAGCCCCCTGGCAGGTATTGCTCTGTGCTGGCTCTGTGACTGACCACCCTCCCATGCTGCGATGGCCAAGGGCTGGAGTCTGCTCCATGCAGAGGGGCAGCACCAGCGACTGGGGAAGGTGAAATGTCAGTGTGTCCTTCGTTTGCTGGCCACAAGTTTGTACAATAGGAAAGGTGGCCAGGGTAAAACAGGGATTTAAAGGGAAAAATGGGTCCAAATCCCTGGCTGATATGGCAGAGTGTTTTTACAGCTCTTTCAGTAGAGAACAGCTAATCCAAGCCAGTTGAGGGCTTGACCTGTTAGCTTGTGCCTGGCCAGCGCAGAAACACTTTAAATCTGAGGTCTGATCCATACTGGAATGAACAAGAATTAGAGGCTGGCTCCCTCTGAGAACCTGGGTCCCCGTAAGGAGGATAACCCCAGGCCACGGGGCAGGGAGGTGACCTGGGATCCCACCTTGCCATGCTGCCAAGAGGGTGTGCAGAGACCACTGCCCACTGGAGAGCCACGTGCCGTGCCCCTCCAGGCAGCTCCAAGCCAGCGTGGGATGGCTCCAGCAGGGGCTGAGCAGCATTGCAGTACAAGACATCACATCTCCCACCCACTGAAACATGAGAGCAGACTGGGCTGCTAAGCTCTCTGCTTCTGGGTGTTATCTTCCCAGGCTGCTACTGGTCCCAGCTGGTTCCTTTAATTCCCTGTGCTGCTTCCCACTTGGTCCAAGAGCCCGAGGAACCACTGCACCCCACCACCAGAAAAAACCTGACACCGAGTGCCATTTGCCTTGGCAACAAAGGAGCACGTTCCAGCCTCTCCTCCTGCTTTTGCCCTCTGCTGAATAAAAGCAAAGCCCAAGTTTTCAGAGTTTGCATCTCTAGCACCAAACCCGCAGCACTTAGCCCTTTTCTCAAAACTAGTTCTACTCATTGCTTCGGTTTCCTTTGCTAAACAGATCTTGCCAATTGCTTTGTCCCCTCATTACCCTGCTCATTTCTTCTTGAGTCATTCCTGCGATGGTGGTTTTGTGCACTTCCTTTCAGTTACTGAAACAACTGCAGGATACTGCTGCTTGCTTTAGTTCAGGGCTGATTTATAGGGTAACACGGAGCAGGGCAAGGTTGGTCAGGCTCTAGGATGTGCAATTTTCATCCTTGGAGAATTTGGGAGCGCAGGTGTGCTGGAGCCAGCTGAGAGGCAGGCAGGTTTGGCTGGGGCCATGGAGTAACTTTCCACCAGACTTCTCTCCAGACTGCAGGCGGAATAGCTGGTGGCCTGAGTCACTTCGTATTTTTCCAGTCTTGAAGACTGGGCTATGTCCTAACCAAATACCTCCATTTCCAGGCTGCGTGGTGCTGGGGATCATGGCAGTGTGGGGAAGGCAGGTCTCTCCAGGCTGCAGCCCCTGCTCTACATAGCTCAGTGCTTGCAGCTGCTTCTCTGCACCAGCCACTTCCACTGGGAAAAGGGAACAGCCCAGCATTCGCTGACCCCAAACCCAGCAGACCACCTCAGACTGACTTGGGTGAGCTCTCGTGTCCTGTGGGCCTCCTGATGAGATGTTAACTCTTAGCAGCATGAACCATTCCTCCGGCACACCGTCCACTCAACCAGCCGCCCCCATCTCCCTGCAGCTAACCCTGGCCAGAAGAAAGGGAAAAGCAGCAGGACGTAGGATGGTGCAAACGGCTCTCTACATGTTTTACCTTCTTGGGCTGGGAACTGAAGTGGCTAAAAGCTCCCAGCCTGCAGGGATGTGACCTGGTTTGCCTTGAATACCATCTTTCTCTTTCCTTCAACCATGGCAGGCATGCAAGGAGCACACAGGGGTTCAGGCAAGTTCTGCTTTTAGCTGAAAAGGCAGTGGATGAGAAGTGACACAGAAATACAGGAGTTTGAAAACTGTTCCTCTTACCTCATCAAATACTTTGTTTTTGCCTCTATTGATCCCTTCATTAAGAGCTTTTATCCACGACTCCTTTTCTTCCAAAGTTGGAGCTTGAAATTTGATATCATGAACCTGCAAGAGCAGAGAGACAATTTGTGCCTTAGCATTCCTTGCCGGGAACAGAGAGGTAGCTCCCTGCTCTCTGTGTATCACTTCTGTTTCTATATAACATCCAGTTCCAGCCTGTGTTTAAACTACAGATTCCTTTGCGCTTTGGCAAGTACTGCACTTCATAGCTCCCATGAACAGGATTTTGTTATGCTGAACAGCTTGTTGCTGTAGTTTTATTTTTGCAACTAGTAACTAAAGTAGTAAGAAAGTAAGAGTTTCTTCCTTCTGCAAAACACTCAGAATAGCTCCTAGAGCAGCAGCAAGTTGTAAAGCAAATGGTCACACTGTATAGAGCATCAGACTGAAAGGCCAAGAAATTTTGTGCTGGCTCAGATGCAATAAAGTATTTTATCTCCAACTTCCCCCCAGGCTGCAACCAACGGGAAGGCTGCGTGCAGCGGGCTCTGCCTGCTTCCCTGTTCCTGCGGCTCTGCAGAACAGAACTGATACAGGAATCCGGGGCTCTGACCTTGGCTGCACAAAGCCCGATTCAGCCACGCACGGACGTGATGAGGCATGAGGACAATGTAAGTGAAAACATTAGCCATAACTTTTTCTGTGTGCAAATGAAGAAATACGGCAGTGAGAGCTACAGACATAGACTTTCTGGGGTCCTAAGAAGAAGGGAAGAGTCGGCCATACAAGAGGTGCTGGCAAGAAGCAAGGGACACAAATAAGGGGGGACTGATGGGGGATCGTATGGCCTGTCCTCCCTTCAGCCAGCTCTCCTCTTCCTCCAGGGCAGTCCCAGGGCTGTGCTCAGTGTTTCGAATCTCTTCTTGACCACATCAGGAACAATAGGTAGGATGGTATTTAGTTCACTGCTGTGCTCTCCGAGCGCCTCACCAGTATTATGTAGCTTTGCTCCAAAGTACACTTCAGGTGAGAGAAATATCATCTGCACATTACAGGTGGCTCTGTGGCAGACTGGCTTGGATCCAAACAGCTCCATGCGGTGCCCTAATCCGCACTGCACAGGCACACAGAACTGCTCTTGCGCTAAACAACTTCATCAACATTCCAAAATCAAGCACTTAAAAATTAGACAATCCCAACATTGCCGGGGCAGTCCTAACGCAGCCCGCTGTGCGTGTTCCTCCTAGCACCATCCCTAATGACAGGGGTAGCACTTCTTCCTGAGCTATCCCATCGTGTGTTTTATCCTCGTGGGTCAGTACATCTTATTGATTGCACTCCGCTCAAGCCCTCCCCCGAAAACAGAATTACTGATTCCCCCGACAATCTTTTCTTTGCTGCTTATCACTACAATATCTGGGGGCTCCACAAATTGCTTTTCAGAGCAACTGAAATTATCTGTCTCTTACAGATGGGGAGGTGAGATACAGAGAGGCTCACCCAGACCACATACTAGCAGGGTCTTGGTTTTTGAAATAGGTTTTTTTGGGTATTTAACATCCTACAGGTATTCTGCACCTCCCCATTGCCTTCAAGAGCAGTTGTAGTCCCGGCCTTTTTGTAAATGAGGCCCCACATTCTGAAATTACAACAGTGCCTATATAAACCAGTAACTATATAAAATGAGGGTGACAAAGCTAACAGTGACTGACAGTCGACTGCTCTTAGCAGCTCCCTGTTTTGTTTATGGCACAACAAAGCAGCAACTGTTTTGGGTCTCAGCAACTTTTGAAGGTACCATCAGAAATTCTGCAGAACTAAAGCCTGATCTCCTTACGCCCGCTCCTGCTGTTTAGCTAGAAGCCAGCTGCCCTTCCCTCCTGCACTTATTCCTTGCTTCAGTGCCACGGTTTTACATCCGCACATCACAGCGACAAAGTGCCAGACCCTCACAACCAGCACGGCAAGCAGGGAGTTAAGAAGCAACTTGGGAGAAGATTATTTGTTCAATTAGTTTGCACATAAGGTGACAGGACCACATGTCTTCCTGAGAGCTCAGAGGAGAGGTTAGGGCCTGAACCACAGCCTGCTGCAAAAAGAGCCCTTTGTCTGAGACGCAGAAGGGCCGGGCTAACCAGGGAACCTAAGGGAAGGCAAGGCTCCAAAACAGAGCGACAGCCAGATTTTGTTTTAGTCCAAGCAGGCCTGGTTTTGTGTGTGCTTAAAAACTTTTTTTGTTCAGAAACGATTTTGCCCCAAAGCTTTGTGATTATAAAAGCTTATGAGAAAGCTCTACTTGTGAGCAGCTGAGCTGCTGCACTGCCTGGCAAAGACCTGGCAGCCTGCACCAGGGTTTAGAAATCTCCGTACATGTTGTTCAAGGGACAGATTCCTGCCTTGCTTCAAGCTTCCTCAAAAGCCTCTGGCCTCCTGGAGCTGAGACTGTGACTAAGCGTTGGTGTCAGCAACCCTGCGGCAGGGCAGAGCGAAGGCTCGGGGTGGTGGTTTGTCTTTAATGAGAAGCCGAGATGTCCCTCTGGCAGGCAACCCTCTGCCATACGGTGTAGCACAGACACAACGGGTGTTGGGGGGAAAGGGACTCCTGGAAAGATGCTCCCAAGGCATGAGCAGAAGGAGCCCTCCGGTTTCCCGATGGGCTGGGCAAGGGAGGGCAGGCAGCACTCTGCGTGGGACCCTGCTCCCGGCGAGGGGGCAGCGTGGGCAATGCCAGACTCCAGCCACTGCAGCCCGGCTCCCTGCTTGCGCAAGTCCCTGGGGCTGTGACACAGAGGGGCAGCCTCGAGGCTCGCAGCCAGTTCCTCCCAGTACACCCACTTATCTTTCTTGGAAAACTTTTTTTCTCCATTTTAGAACAATATCCACAGACACCAAGGAAGCGTCATGCTGCTGGGGCTCAGGATACCACTGGCCAGAGTCTCTTTGTCACCTTGCAGTCCCCCTGTCTGTCTGCATCCATCTGTGGCTCACGTGCTCAGCCACGGCACTGGGGAGAAGGGGCTAACCCAGAGCAGGGTGGACACTCTCTATAAAGCAGACGGCTGCAGGGAGGAGGCAGGAAGGAGCTGGAGGAGTTGGACTCAGTCCTGCCTGCCACTGGGGCTCTGTACACTAGTCTGAGACTCCCAGGTCCTCTACAAACAAGACACAAGTGAATTTATCTTGTCTGTATTTTTACTCATTGGAGTGTTCACAGATATCAGAGGATGCACCTGAAGATGAAAGCTCCCCACAAAACCTTAAGCAAGGTCTGTTCTCCAGCAGCAATTTAAGGTAGAGAGTGAGTGGCACCAAATCGAAGAGGGCAGCAGGCACATTTGCTCTCCTTCTTGCTAAGCCAGCTGAGACTGAGTCATGCCGTAAACAACAGGCTGGTGTGCCAGGAAAAGCTGTCATGGCTAAACCTAATGTGATAGTGACCATTGTAAGCCATGAATACAGACTACGCAATTTACTGCCAGTTAACCCAGAGCACAGCATGGCCAGTCAGCTCCCGCTGAATTCCTGGCTAGAAGTCATGTAATGAGAGGCTCACACACGGGTCACTGTCCGTGATGACAGCGAGCACAGTGTCCCCGATTGCTCCACGTCTTCTCGGAGACATCAGTCTCTTCAAGCAGTGACAGCCTCATGGCTATGTTGACCCTGCTTTCCAGGAAAGAGAAGCGTTCTCAGGGTCAGTCTATTGTACCTGCACTAAATGATTGAACAAACAAGCTCTGGAAGACCATATAGCTGCAGTTTAAGACCTTCACCAACACTAGCTCTTTGCTGAGCAATTCTGCTAGATGCTGCTGATCTGAAGGCGGATGTGCTTGCTCCTCAGTCATTTCAGTGCAAAGCCTGTTGGTGGCTTCAGTTCAGTAGGGCTGGGCTAAATTGGGCTGTGAACTGCTTGTGAGCTGCTGGGTTAGGTGTGGGAATGTGTTCCCTTCTGCTGACTTTTATTATGGGGTGGTCACCTCCAGCAGAAGCCAGAGCAGAGCTGGGTCAGTAAGTACCAAGAGTGCACCAGGGTCTATCTGCCAGATGTGAGGTCACCTCCTGCCACCTGCTACATGACTTTGTCAGTTTAGATCATGGAGGGAAAAGTGGAAGCCAAGGGACTGTCAGTTAGGGGATTCTTGTGGTTTTCTGCAGCTGAACCAAGAGCTACCTCATCCCTGGGAATAAGGCAGCATCTCTGCCAAGCTGGCAGGCCCCAGGAGCAGACTCCTCTGTGCACAGGGCGAACGTGCCTCACCGCGATCTACTGCAGCTTCCAGGCTGGGGCCCTGGTGATGGCAGCTGCAGGTACCTCCAAAGGCGACTAAGGGAAAAATAAGCAATGGAAAAATAAGCAGGTGCAGAGTTTGTGCTTGGCCATGCTAGGAAAGGACGTGTGGGGAGCTGCAGTGCTTGCTCGTGGACTCTTTCCTTTAGTACCACCCTCTTTCTTCCCATTCTTAAGGCTTCCCTGTAGCTGAAGGCTTTCAGACCCGCTGAATACCAGACTTGTGCCGATCTCTGTAGTCTCTAGGCAGTTCACACCAAGCATCATTTACACTGCTTTTTGCATTATGAGTATGTTTTAAAGTCTCCAGGCCAAGCCTGCCACCCTTTCTTACAAGCTCAGCTCTCTGCATCCAATAGTTTTCATTTAATTGCTGGGGGTGGAACGAAGCATTTGAGATTTCTAAGCAGAACGGGTCTTTTGCACACTTCCAGCTTCCTTTGCTGAGGAACCGAAGCTCAGGGGGCAACGCATTCATTCAGTTTCATACTGGTGCAGCCGTGTGACATGCTCATATTGCCACAACTTAACACAAATGTCATCCTTGTGGACAGGGCAAGCAGAACCTGGGCTGCATCCATCAAACACTGGTATTTAGCAAGGCAACTTATTTATTCGGGCGCAACTCTAGCTGCAGAGTAGTTTTAACTGACTGATTCGTGTCCCCTGCTCTTCTAGAATATCCCATCCAACATTTAAACTGGGACTCCCCTGCAGCTAAACTGGGCTCCCTGTATTCAACAGGGAAATGCTTGTTTGTGCACCAAAACAGAAATGGCCTTTCCTAGCTTGCTCCTAAGTCCCACAAACTCACTGGCTTTCTGCATTCCTCAGCATTGTGCCCAGGAGAGGGGGCAAGAAAACCCCCTAGCAAGATCTGGCAGAGCTTGGCAAGGCAGCTCACAGGGTAATTTTAAACTGCCGGATGGCAGCAAGCCTCCCAAATGGAAAATGTTCAGCTGATATATATCGCCACAGCTGCAATTTCAAAACAGAAGAAGGACAGTTGTGTACATTGGCCTCCTAACTGAAGCCTGTTCTAACATCTGCCAAAGTATGTTGTGTGTCAACACCCTCACCAGATTCCCAGCCAAAAGGAGGGTGGGAGGGAAGCTACAAACAGGGAACTTTTCATTTAAGTAGCCCTTCTTTTCACCAAAACAGCCTTATGAAAAGTAGCCTCTATCTAGGTCTCCATTTAATCAGTGGCATGAAAAACAGGGGAGCTGTAAACTCGCCAACATGCCAAAAGGATGAAGTTACCCTTTCGGGGCAGAGTTTGGGCATACCATTCCCCTAGCAAGAAATAAAAGGTTTAGGAACAGGTCTCACAGCCTGTGTTGATTCGTGCAGAGACATACGCAGCTATTACACACTTCACCTCTCCCAGTAACATACTTGCAGGTAACAATAATTCCTACTATGCCACCCATCTCTGAGCACACAGGCTTTTACTTTGCCTCCCTGGCAGTAGGTGTGCACTTGTAGTTATTGAGCCACCCTCTAGAAAACACACCAAGCCTGCCGGGGTTAGCCACTGCCAATCTAAAATTCACATTATTTCTGATTAATCAAGTTACAAACCCAATGCTAAACCTCCCCTCAGACTGGAGAGGCTCGCTGCTCTGGGATCCAGTGCTGAGCAGGAGCTCGCTAGCCCAGGGTGCAAATTTCCAGGCTACCATCACCTTGGTGCATGGTGCTTAATATCACTTTTCTCCCCAATACAGACTACACCTACTTGCAAACCAAACATCATTCACCTTCTCTCTCCGCCCCATGTGAGTGTTTTGGGGCAGGACAGTCCTTGTTTTGTTGTCTTGAAAGAAGTTTAGCACAAGGATGCTCTGAACTCAGCTGGGGTCTTATTATACGAATAAACACTAAGTGACAGGAATGAAAGAATAAGCAACAACGACAACAATGACTAAACAGTCTCCATTTATTTAAACAAAATGGAGATGGGGAAGCGCAGGCAAGTTGGTATTTTTGCCTGTTCACATTCTTATGGAAATGAGTATGTTTTTTCCCTCACAACCTCTCAGGTTTGCATGGGGAGGTTTCATAGGAACTCTGATGTCAATAAAATCACATTTAAATTAGAAGGATGTAAGTCAAACTGCGACGCCTCAGAGCAACAACAGAAGCATCCTAGCCCATAAAGATGCTGAAATGGATAGCATGCAAGTAGGAACTAAGGAGAACTTCCAAAGATGTGTGGCGATGGTGTACCTACATGTCCTTTCATACGCTCAGATGGATGTGTAACTTCTTTGCAACTCCAGCCTGGTTGTTAGGTTCTGGATCTAACCAGATACTGCGCAGGACACTAAAGATGCAGAGTTTTATAAATCCTTCAAAATAAATCTTTCCTCGTAGGAACTGCTTGGCTGCAAGTAACTGCGCTGGAGTTTCTCAGACCAACGCTTACAACTCCAGGCACCATCTCAGTATGTGGATTGGGATCATTGATTTCACTGGAAGTTAAGCAAAGCTACAGCACATGCAGCTGGGACAGGGACACTTCCTCGCCCAGAGCACATGGGGGAACCACAGGGAATGGTCATTTCTCCACTGCTCAGGGAGTACTGGAAGAAAGAAAATGATAAGGCAGGAAAAACATCAAGAGGAAAAAGCTGAGTTGCAGGAAAACCCTTTTCCCGTCACAAGAAGAAAGTCTACAAGACAGCGGCGTTCCTCCTTACGCACTGCAGACCATTCACAGCTATAGGTCATGTCTCCCAGTTGCCAAAGCGCTAAATCTCAGAGCCTTTCATCTGCTCTGGGTGCAGCTGCCTGGGAACTCATTTTGGAGTCTGCAGACTTGAGGGTGATGAGAAAGGCAATCCTACCTTCTTACCCGGGGAGCGGATTAAAATGAAACGGTTTTTCTTTTTTAGTAGCGCACGCAGTTCCTGGCACTTGTCATAACTCTCCAGCTCCACTGTTTCTATGCACTTCTGTTCATCCTGCAGAGAGGGAATGAAACATTATTATGAATAGAAGGCACTGAAATCAATCATATACCATCAAACTCTGCATGTCTTCCCCTTGCATCTGTGTAAAAGCTCTTCTGCCTTAAAAATAACCTGCATGCAGACAGCAAGCCCCCATAAATCAGGCTGGCATCTCATCAAGAAAACACTCTAATCTTTAAGCTACAGGCTGATTGTGGCTAGTGGTCCACAGTGGCTGAGCAAATAACATGTTGTGGAGAGTAACACCAGCCTCTGCCATCTCTGTTGGCCTTGTCCAGGGATCTGCAGCCAGAACTAAGGTGGGAAGGTCTTTGCCCATCACCCTGCCCCAGCCACAGGCTGAGAATGTGCTGGCAGTCCTGGCATAGGAAGGAGGAATAATACGAAACACTTCTACAAACCTTCCTGGCATGATCTCAGAGCACTCCCCAGGCTTCCCCTTAGCTTGGCGACGCTGCCTCCTCCCCACAATGAACGCAGCAGATGTTATTCTGCTTTTCCACAGGGAAGACGATGCAAGCATCATGACGGTCCAAGCGGCCCCCCCAGGAAGCCCAAGGCAGAGCGGAGATAACAGGCAAGCCCCACTGCTGCGCCAAGCCTCAGCAAGGTCAGTGGGAGCCACGTACGGCTGGGACACGCTCCTCTTGCAGCCATGCTCTGAGCTGTCAGAATGCTTAGGGTTGGAAATACAGTCCCATACAGCCAGCAAAACTGTCAGGGCCAGCGTCTCAGTGGGGAATATTTATCTCTGGTGTATCTCCACTGATGACTGCCGGCCGTGATCTTGGCTCATTTCTCCCAGTAACATAACTAAAATTCCCCACGTGGTGCGTGGCTCAGTTCAGCTGCGGAGCACCATCCCTAATAGGAATTGCAGTGTAATGCTGGGCAGATAATATTCTCCATGTCTCAGTAGCCCAGAAGAGACCGAAGCTCCCTTTTCCTCAGTATTACACAAATAAGCACTGAGAATCGCGGAGCAGTTCTTGCCAGTAAAGTGCTACAGTCAGCATGCCTCATGAACCTCTCTATTACCTTCCTAAATTAAAACTGCTGGCCATGACTGTCCCCAGCTTAGGCTCCGCTCCCAAGGCAGCTCCTCGTACCCGTATGAGTTTGTATTTAGCAATTCTTGTAGCGGAGAGGGGGTGTGGGATGAGGAAACGTGTCGTCGCCAGGAAGCTGCTGCGTGGCTGGAGGCCGGGAATGGAGAGTTCAGAGGGAAGTGGGCTGTGGGGAATTTCCTCCCTTTACCAGTTGACATCTAAGTCACTGCGCAGAGCTCAGGCTGTGTTTAGTTTGGTTTTTTTTTTCAACCCTCCTATCTGGGGACGGGGGCCCAGCAGAGCCAATGCCGGTACACAGATCAAATTCTGAGCTACCGAGGGATGTCTGGATCTAATTTAGTTTTATTATTTTAATGACATCACTGTTTATTTCATTTAACACTGAGTAGGTGAATGTGACCAGAGAACTGGGAAAATGGATACTGGGAGGAGGAGATTAATCCTGCCCAAACCTAAAACCTGGCAGATAAAATCCTGCTGACGTTCTGAGCCCTTTGAAGGCACAAGGCTCCCACTGCAATCCTGGTATGGCAATGTCACTGCAAAAGGACAGGGATGGAAATAATAACCCCTTGGCGGCCAAGAAATGACAGAGAAGGGTGAGGTCAGGAATACATGCCTCAGGGATGGGTGATCTCATCGTGGCCTTTGGTGGACGACCGCCCACATCACAGCTCTGACGTGAAAGTTTGCTGGGCTCGGGATGTAGGTGACTTGGCAGCACTCTGACCGGCGACCAGCACAAGGATTCCTGCCCACCCTCCCTGCTCTCGAGAGCAGCAGAGCCTATGCCACCCTCCTTGCCCACACCAGCCTTCCTGCCTCTTGGAGGTGAGGCTTCCCTCTGATCCTGTGCAAGCCATCCTCCACTTCCTAAGAAGAGCGGAGCACCAAGCTGGGGGGGCAAGAAGGACTTGGCAGGGTGGAGAGCTGTGTTTTTGCCATGGTATTGCCTTTTGGCATCCAGCTGCCCCTCTCCTCCCTGGCCAGGGAACAGGGGCAGCGAGGATGGGGACATGCAGGACCCTGTCTTCCAGGGGCCCTGGCTTGACTGTGCAAGCTACGGCTCCATCATCTCAGAGACCTGAACTTCTCAAGTAAGTTATCCTCTTCGGGGAGGGAGGGGAAGAAAGCTGCCAGAGAAATAAGAAAACTCCATGTCTGAGGGCAAAGGAAAAGCATCTGAGTTCAAGGAGTGCCAGAATGGGGCTTTTGTTTCTGTTTTACCCTTGGCACATGGCCATCCCCTCTCTGTGAGCCCACCTGGGTCACAAAGAGATCCTTTATGTTTGCCCTGCGCCACTCAGATAAAGACCGAAAGACCTGACCCTGCTATGGGTGTCGGGGTCCCTTCAACCTCCTGGGACCTGAAGGATCCTCAGCATCATGCAGAGACAAGCTCGCTTCCAGAGACCTGCATTCTGGACAAGCTCCCACTCCATTTGGTCTCTGGTGTCCCAAAGAAGTTAAAGCAATTCTGTTACATCCTCCCGAGACAGGAGGGTTGGGTCCTCACTCGGTGGCCGCACCTCCCCGCAGCACACAGCTCACAAGGCTGGTGCTGCATTTGCTCCCCATCAAGGCAGGCAATTCCCATCAGGCCACCTTTCTCTTTTCCTCTACAGATTTTAGGGCTCGTTTTTTAAATCGCTTTCATGCTTGCTGTAAGGAACAATCAGTAAGACCCTTAAAACCCTGGTACAAAACCCCCTACATCCATGATTTAATGCAGAAAAACAATTCCATTAGCTATTTGTGGAGTGGACGCTGCAACTTAACTTAAACATGTATGTGTCTGTAAGCTTGGCCCTTAAGAAAATTACTAAACACCTAAAAATATTAATGCATGTGCTTAACCAAAGAATCACACTTGGCAAACAGTTTCCTTAAGGAAAACTTGATAAAAAGGGGGAAAAAAGACCCACTGAAATTTTTTTTATATGAAGGTAAGATTTCCAGCAAAGACCTCTTCACTGACACACATTTGTGGGCTGTGACCCTCGGTGTACAATGTCTAGACTGCCCAAAATGATAATTTACTTCTCCACTGGAGGATCTCAAAGCGTTTTAATAAATCACTTTTGGGTACACATTGCTATCGCTTTACCAGGGGCAAAATGCAGATGTTAACTGCATGACTGTTAAATGCTGAGTGGATGCTCTGGTCTCTAGAAGACTCTGCCTAGCAGGTTTTTTCCCCTGTCAAATAATACACTTAAAAAAAAAAAATAAAAAAACCAAAACCAAAACAACAAAAAACCTGAACCTTAACCACTAACTGCATTGTTTAGGGGAAAGAAACCAAACCCAAGACTGATGCTTTCTAATGGATGGAGCAATGATATTGATTTGTGTAGCCTCTCTGCATAGGGCTGCCTGTTCCTCAGATGCTCTCTGTACTTCTGAAAGGCTTAATTTTTATTCTTCGAAGAATATGCAGAGAGAAGACAAGAAACCGCGTTAGCAAATAACCTGCCCACTTGATTCTTAGTTTACGTGAGGGTACAGACGTGAGGTGCTGTGGACAGGGGCACAGCAGATAACAAGAAATCCATCTCCCTTCATTTCACATCTGCTGAAGAAACCTGAAGCCCGGTGGGATGACTTTCACCCCCATCTGCTCCAGGTAATGCAATAGCCATTTGCAATTTGCCTTCGGGACGCAGCTCCTGCTTTAAACCAAACCCAAAGCCTAACAGATGCAATATGGGAAACACACTCCTGGGGCAGGTCAGGAGCACATTCCAGGAGATTGCTATTGATGATGATAAATACAGTATTTGTGCTCTGCTCAGACTGTACTTTCTGGTGACACCGTACGACGTCGTTGCCTGCATCTTGTGTTGGCCATCCCCTCTGCTCTTGTTTTGTGCGCACAAACCTCAGCTACAAGCACAACCAGCCTCCTGCAATGGCACAAACAAGCGTGCCAGCATATGGACAACTGCTACAGACAACATTAGCGCCGCTTCGGGAAGGGCTGCAACATGGGAGGGACCGATCAAAGCACAACACCTCCAAGTCGCTAGCTCAGTTCCTGGAAATCTGAGGGGCTCAGACCACCTGAAACACTCAGCCTCTAAACCTGCCCCCCTGCACAAAAGCTGACCTCCCTCCCATGTAGGTCTAACTTAGGATATACACGTAAAGGTGTTTGTATTTCTGTTGCCTGAGGCTTTATCTCCTTTCTTTTTCTAGGGCCCCGATTCAGTAAGCACTGAACAATCCCGCTTAAAAACGCTTCAGCCTGAGGATGGTCTGGAATGCTGCGTCTGTCTCCAGGGCCACACAGAGCAGGTACGTGAGAAGGTCCAGGGCGGAAAACAGCAGCTGGAGCTCCAGCAATAAAAGCCACCATAGCACACTGCACCACAGACTCTCCTTTGACATTGGGCAAGGCCCTTCTCATCTCAAAAACTCAGTTCCCCAGTTGTAAGATGGAGACAGCAACACAGCCCTAACTCACGTTAAAGGAAGATAAATACAGTAATAAACATGAACTGCCGCAATTCTGTGGCAACGGGACCCCTCCTGAGAGCAGAAAATTGCCATTTCCTTCAGTTGCCCTGTAGTAAGGCTGCACAATCACATGCTATCCTATTGTGCTACCAGATAATTTTGTAGCAATTTCCTCTCCTTAGACATTTGACTTCACTGTAAGCCAATTTAATAGCCTATAGATATTAACATGATCCCTTATTTACAATAATGGGACCTTGTAGCTACTGTAGCTTACAGATGCAATTTATTACAGGATGTTACCACAATCCGCAGGCTACCAGAAAACATTACGCCTGGTTGTTACAAATGCCATTTTCCTTGTTGAGATAATAAAATAACCCTTTAAATGATTGGGATTTTTCCTTCTTCTGAATGTCCATGAAAATTAATCTTACTTTAAAAGCCTCCTTTTCCCTTGCGGTAATGAAAGCCTCCATATATCTTGTTTTTAAAGGCATGCCCTTTAAAAAAACCCTACGTCATGTTTCTAGATTTTGAACCTGCGAGTTCCCGGAGCTTCAGCTGGAGTCACCAGGTGTCCGGGGCGCTGGGAGGCGAACTCCAGAGCAGCAACGGTTTGCAGGACCAGGCTGCGTCTCCCTGTGCAAGAAAAACACCCAGCGCTTTGCCTGCCTTCCAGGCTGCTCATCGCCTGACATTAGCTTCTCATTTCGTTATTCTTGCACTCTTCCTGACGTTTCAAAACTAAGAACAAACGCCTCCAGAAAGCTTTGGGATTCGGGAAGAGCAGGAAGGTTCAGCGTATGGGGAGGAGGTAATACCCTTTAACCTAAACTGTTTAGAACAAATCTCCTTTATTAGGCAATAGTATGTTTTTTTAAAAAAAAAGAGAACCAAACTCATTCGTCAGTCCTGTTGTTCCCAAAACCATCACAGCAATGCAGCTGCGGAAACCTTTCCCCATTCTTCTTCCCTTGACAGGCTGCATAGAAACTTTACATGATTTTGGTTTTAGATCATCCTGATGCCCACAGATGACCCAAATCCCCTTGTGTCAGACACCTCATGGGCATGTGGTCCTTGCGCAGTTGTGCAGTGAGAAATGTTCCTCCATCCTGATGCTCACATGAACCTCAAACCACCATACACCAGCAGGGCTTAGATTTACCCACCCTTAACCTCAAACCTCTCTGGGTTGTAGCCTGTGCTCTGCACTGTAATTTTTCACTTTTGGGGCAAACTCTGCTCTTGTAGAAGCCCCTTCTAGCCCACGAACCGAGGGCCTGGCTCTGGAAAGAGCCACCTTTGCAGCCCAGCAGGACCAGCCCTGCACTCTCCATTCTTCTCGCATGAAGACGCTGGACAGATTTGGCTTGGCACTTATTTCTCATTTGATTGGAAACAGCTCTAAACGAGGCCATGAACTTAGGGGAAGTCCAGGACAAGGCTCCCAGGGGTGCTTTGCTCAGTACTGGCTCGAGTAAAGGGAAAGGATGAGCCAAACCCAGACTGTCTCCCTGCTTAAGGAGGGCAGTGAACACTCACAATCTCACCCTGCCTCCATCAGTGGCGAAATGGAACCCTGAAGAGCCTGGCTAACAACAATTCAAGCTGCTCAAGGGGTGCCAAGCAGCTGCAAGGTTGCCTGCCGTCCCCTTAAGCGGCAGGTGGCAAGTCAGCCTCCTGCAATCCCGTTTTATCCTTTAAATGCCAAAAAACGCATAGCACATATCCTGCTTCCGCCCAAAGCTTTGCTCTGCTCGCCTTCTCACAGGATGTCCTGCCCCCATTTTTTTTTTTTTGGCAACAGCACTGTCAAAATATTTACTGGCTAAAATATTTATAATATATAATATACTCTAAAATGCAGCTGCTGTCTCTTCTTTATAGCATTTACACTTCCTGGAGATAACTGGAGAAGCTCTTTGGAAAGGAATGGGCTGGAGGGAAGAGTACAAACCGCAGGAACATGTGTCACTGAGGGCCTGATCCTGCTCCTCATTCAAGGCCGTTAGCTGTGACCATACCTCATCCTCATAGACCACAAGCTGCGTTTTCCGTAGTTGGATGTAACGATCCTTCCACAATCCCAGGAGCCCCCCACTGCTTTTCTTAATCCAGCCGTATTTCTCTGCGGTCGGAGCAGACTTTGGTTTCTCCGAGACTTCCTCCTTTGTATCCTGCAAGGACAGAAGGGAGAAGGAATTACATCAAAAGCACCTTCCATCCATTTAATGAAGGTCATCAGAAAGCCTGCCCAGACAAGACCTCAACACCCACCACACGTGGTCCCTCCCCACCACATCGCAAGGGAAAAGACTGGCATCTTCAAGAGGAAAACTCAACCAGCTCCCACCCCAGAGCTGCCACAGGACTGGGGAGCGGGCATGGACCCTGGCCACCCCAGGGGACGCTGTTAGGATGGCAGCAAGTCCATCTTGCTCCTCTGCTTCCCCAGTGGCTCTGCTCCCCTCTCTGGAGGTAGCCCCCACTCACTGGGCACCAAGTGCTCCTTGAAAACAAGCATCCTCCTCTCTGCTTTGCTCCTCCAGCTCTCTGATCAACCCCAGTGGGACGGATCCTGCTGGCATCAGTAGGAACCCTCATATTTTAGCCCAGGGCTGCTTCTGCAACCTTCTCCCCTAGGTCTCTACGTTTGGTCATTGCCCCCAGACCAACTCCTGTGGGCAAATTCATGGCACAAGGGCCAGGACTTCATCACACCTGCACTAAAATGTTCCCGGCAGGCTCCTGCACGGTTTGTAGGCAGAGGGAAGGACCAGCAGAGAAGGGCAGCACCAAGACTGGGTTTTTCTTTTTTTTTTGTCCTGCCTTTAGCTCCTTGCTGTTTGTCACAGCCCGCTCTCGCCTGCCCGCAGCAGCAGCACAGGGAGCCTCAGCACCCTGCACTGGGAGGCTGCTGGCTTTCCAGGCCTGGTAAAAACCAGGAGACGCATAGCTTCCCTGCTTTGAAAAAACATCAGAAATATCCAATATCAATATTCTCGTCAAATGGAGACAGGAAACCTAAGACAGGGAGTGGGGGCAGCAAGTCTTATTAGCTGACCACTCGCTGGGCACCAAGTGCTCCTTGAAAACAAGCATCCTCCTCTCTGCTTTGCTCCTCCAGCTCTCTGATCAACCCCAGTGGGACGGATCCTGCTGGCATCAGTAGGAACCCTCATATTTTAGCCCAGGGCTGCTTCTGCAACCTTCTCCCCTAGGTCTCTACGTTTGGTCATTGCCCCCAGACCAACTCCTGTGGGCAAATTCATGGCACAAGGGCCAGGACTTCATCACACCTGCACTAAAATGTTCCCGGCAGGCTCCTGCACGGTTTGTAGGCAGAGGGAAGGACCAGCAGAGAAGGGCAGCACCAAGACTGGGTTTTTCTTTTTTTTTTGTCCTGCCTTTAGCTCCTTGCTGTTTGTCACAGCCCGCTCTCGCCTGCCCACAGCAGCAGCACAGGGAGCCTCAGCACCCTGCACTGGGAGGCTGCTGGCTTTCCAGGCCTGGTAAAAACCAGGAGACGCATAGCTTCCCTGCTTTGAAAAAACATCAGAAATATCCAATATCAATATTCTCGTCAAATGGAGACAGGAAACCTAAGACAGGGAGTGGGGGCAGCCAGTCTTATTAGCTGACTGCTTTTACCAGCAGACTCGGTTGAAGATGAGGGTTTTCCTCCCCTCCGGTGCACTGGAAGAACCTTTGCAAAGGCAGGATCCCCGTTTGCTTCCCTTGGAGCACCCTGCTGCTCCCAACACCCCAG